AGGGAACTAACTTCCTTGATATTGAATTCGTTTAGTATGGAAATACTAGAAATGGTAGACATAGGCTTCACCTCAAGATTGTCCATTACACTGTAAGTGACCACCCCTTTCACAAAACCCACCTCCCTCCAAGAGGGGGATTGCTTATTTGGTGGCTTAACAGGAAGTAGCTGCAGGCATCTCAATTTGGTATTGCATTTAGGACAATTGATCTAGGCCACATCTGTCATGTACGGACAGTTTCTATTACACTTATACAAGGTCATCGCAAATGATGATTGGTTATCTGCGTCTGGTGAACCAATAGAGGTAACCTTTGCGTTCATTAAGTGACCGCATTGAGGAGAATTAGCAGTTGGTTCTTTTGCCACATTATTCCAACAGTATGATGAACACCTGTAGTAGCTTGTAGGAATTGATATCTGAGTGACTGGCAACAGGAGAGGAACTGCTGGTGCAAAAACGTGCTGCTTCAAAAGGGCATCCTTAGCCTCTGGCCCCTGCATATAAGTATCATTCAAATTCTCAATGCTTTCATAGAGGTTTCCAATGGAGCCCATCATACCCTGTTTGGAGAGAAGCCTGACTACTGTTCCGAGAGGTAGAGATAGTAAGTTGAACAGGACATCGATGAAATCTTTGATGAAAGTTGCATAAAGCAACTTTGGTGGAAATAGCAGTACGTTAGTGCCATCAAGTTGCACAAGTTCAGTTTAGTTAAACTGAAATTAGCCTAGTCTTTCGGGTACTTTTTAGTGAAATTTCAAGTTAGAACCATGTGATCTGATGTGTACCATTTGATGACAAAATATTATTGTAAAAGAACTCCTTGGCTTAAGCACAGAAAATGCTTAGATTAAGAAACTTTTGAATTTTAAAATTTAAATTCTCTGTAATGTACAAATACCAGTAAAATGAAATGGAAATTGAATTTCAGCTTTTTCAACTTTTTCTCCATTTCTTTGAGAAAAAACCAAACAATCTTTGCCTACTTCGGCAAACAGAACCCTCTGCGCTCTGGCCTTGGGCATCTACCGGGTGTTTCAGGCTCACTTTGGCTGTGTTGGATGCCATTGATGCAGACCCTCTCTCGTGAGGATATTCAGATTTCAGAGTGGTTTATGTACAAATTTTTTTCTTGTTTGACAGGTACAATTAAGTCCATAGAGAAGTGGAATGGACACGAAAGAAGCATTCATGAGAGACTACTGAGAATCTCTATGCATAAATTGCATTTTTCAAATTCCAATCACGTTTCTAGGAAATGAGAGAATAGGTTATGGAATCAAAAAAGGGAAAACTCTACTCTGGAACATTAGAGAAAATGGAAACAGAACATCCTTAAGTCTTAACCCTTCTTCCCCATAAATACATCGAGAAACACAGTTTTTTACTGCAATCAATGCCTAGAGCAGTTTCACACCCCAAGAACAAGATAAAACAAGAAGGCCAAGCTTTACTACATAGTATCAGCCATGATATTTTCAAGGATCCTTAGCAAAATACACCAAAAGAACAACTCCCAAAGGCAATTTAATTCCTCCTTGGGTAACAAGTCAATATAGATCATCAATTTGAAGGCTTCTTGCCAAGGAAAACTTCTTGCGAAGGAAAACTTCTTGCCAAGGAAAACTTCAGTAAGAACAGTCTTAGACTGCAAGGACATCTTCAGCAATTCCACACTCTGTTAATAATTGTAAACAGAACCAAGCAACAATAATGTTAATTACCACAAAAATCTTGTCCAAAAGGTATGAAGATGCAATGAAGTAGTCAAGAGGAACAACAGATGATGCCATACCTGATCCACACCCACATCGACCACTTTTTCTTCAAGCGCCCCAAGATCCTTGACATTGAACTGGTTGAGCATAATAGTGATGCCGGAAATAGTAGATATGGGCCTCACCTCCAGATTATCCATGATCATATATTTCGCTACCCCTCCTTTCACATAGCCTCCTTCAAGAGCGCAAGTCTTCTTATTTGGTGGATCGACAAACGTTAGCGATCTGTTGATATGGTTTCCACTTTGAGGACAAATGGCAGTTGGATCATTTGTGACATGAGAAGAACAGGAACCGCTAGCAAAACCTCCACCAAAACTAGGAGAGGCACCAAAAGTAAAGGTGGCAGTACTACCGAAAGCAGGAGAAGAAGCACCAGGACCACACCCAAAAAAGCATGTAGATTTGGGTGTCTGAATTTCTGGCAACAACAGAGGAAGAGCTGCTCCTGATGTATGAACGTCAGGTTTCAACAGGGCATCCTTGGCGTCCGAAGTCTGCAGGTAAGATTCACTCAAATTCTCTATGCTCTCATAAAGGTCCCCGAGGGAACCAACCCCGAGGGAACCAACCATGCCCTGTTTAGACAGAGTCCTAATCACAGTTGCCATAGGCAGAGACAGTAAGCTGCAGAGAAAGTCGACGAACTCTTTGGATGCTTCGGCAAACAGTACTTTGTTACCTTTGGTGTCTATCAGGAGCCTCAAGCTCACTTTGGCTGTGGTGGTGGCTGCCATGGATTCAGATGCAAGTTTTTCTCTACTTC